AGTGTATTCTTCCAATACCTATTGGCCGAACCTATCTCCTCAGATGAAAGTCTTCAAGGTATGTTTGTGGTTCACTGAGACTTGTTCTGTTGAGCACAAATCTAGCAACTGTTTCAAGTGTAACCAATTATTCATGTCGTTTTCACATATCCCATGTGACTGGTTCGCACAGTCAAGGTGGAATACCGTGGACGACGAGGAGGAACGTGAGGAATTTTCGAAAACACGCGTCATTCATTGTGTCCTCAATAGATTGTCGCACTACAGGTATCTATGATACAAGTGACCTGTGGTATCGTGATGACGGTTGATGCTTACCATCTGATTGAGTGGCCGTTCCAAATGACATCAGTAACACATTGATTGCTGCAAAGCAAATCAACGTTCGTATTCATCATTCCGACTGACTATCTAACAAACCTGCAATGAACGAGTTTGTATTTGCACAGATGGTCAACCAGTGCCAACCCATTCATCCATCCATCCACTCACCCATTCATTCATCCATCCATCATTCCTTATATCTATCACACTATCCATCAATCCTTCCTTCCATCCATCCATACCACCGTTCATCCCTTCATCGATTATCACATCCGATCAATCACTTACTGAAACACTGACCAACTTACTCAGACACTCACATGCACATTTATTTTCTAGTGCTTTCACACCTCATGGTTGTCAACCGATCACAAACTCTCTTCTTACATTATGTTCTCTTCTGTTGTAGCAACATCTGATCCCATACTAGAAGACGGTGAGGACGACGAAACAGATGATGATGGTCAAGAGGATGTCACAGTTGCGACACCTGGTAATGAAGACGTGGATGTAACATATTCCAAACTGTTAAACGGTCACTACGGTTACCGGCCATGCCATCAGTGTTGTCGAAATCGAAATTCCCGTGGATGTAATCGAAATCGATACTGCCGTGGATGTCGTCGTCGTCAGTCGCACCACAGATACAAATAATACTACTGATAGATAGTAGATTGAAGAAGGCCAAACATGTTTGTCAGTCAGTTCAACGTCCATCAATTTTTCTATTAGTACATTCACATTCCGGCTCTTCACAAAATTACAATTTGCACACGCCTTAATGATAATAACCAGAATGGAACTTGCCTCACTTAATTAACTCATCAATATGTATATTTACTGTCAATTGTGTTTACTTGTGTTCTACAATTTGTGAGTTCATGATATTGTTCATGAATGAGAATTCTTTGTAATTAGGTGTAGTTGTAGTTGTGGTTGTAGAGTGGACCGATGGTAGTTGGATATTGTTAAGCAATGTAATTACTTTCTGTTGAATAAAGGTAGTTACAATTAATAAAGCGAAAATAGATTTTGGAATTATGACCATACATAATTTTCCTCCTTAGAATGAAGAGAACATTGACAAGTTGCCAGGGCAATCATTTTCGTCGATGAATTTGTATGGACTAACGTATCAGATTTCATGTTACCTTTCTTGTAGTTTTCGGTATATTTATTTATTCCTTCATATATATGTATATATGATTGAAAACATCCACCAGTGGTTCCTTGCTTTTCCGACCTTAGCCTTCACGTCTACATCAGATCCTCCTTGTTCATCGACGACGCTTCACAAGTACGTGGGGGGTTCCACATCTTCCAGAGCTTCTCCATCAAAACATATGATAGTGACAATTTATATATCCGATTTATAGATAGAGCATGCAACTTCGAAACGGGACGCAGTTTCACAAAAATGTCGTAATACGGGTTCACTAAAATGATGAATGAATGAGAGAAATAATTGAGTGTGGTGAGGCTATAGTTGATGAGTCTATCAAACCTTAGAGGACTTGTGGAAGAGATTACTAATGCAGTTGCTTTTAAATAACAACAAACGACATGAATCCAAATTGACAGTGTAAATTTACAGTTGAAATCATGAGTCAATTGAAGCTAGACCACCATCGAAAACCTGGTAGCACTGGACGGCCGTTTCGTCCTACTATGGGACTCCTCATCAGTGCGCATCCACGATCCCGCACTCGCGAGATTCGAACCCAGGCCGTCCAGTGCTTCCAGGTTTTCGATGGTAGTCTAGCTTCAATTGACTCATGATTTCAACTGTGAAAAGTGTAAATTTAGTCAGCATCGTTTTCATAGAGATAGGATAAACCAATTTAGATATTACCTGTGAGGTGTGACTTAAACGTAAACTTGGAGACCATATTATTATCGTGTAACTCGAGTGGACCTCGACCAAACCGATAGACAACTGAAATGACGGGATTTTCAATTCAATGTGATATTATTACTCAGTATAGTATTTGTTTTGTTTTCCATTCTGATATTTTATTCGGTATAACAATAATTCATTTGAATGTTGTGTTTGTTAAAGATACAATATTCTTGTATTAAATTAGCATGAACTATGCTCAGCATGATAGATAGCATGTAGTTTTGCTATAATTCTGAGTATATTTCATATATGTGATTTCATCCTAATTGATAGTCTGAATGTGTGTACAATCAATATATTAATGAGTGTATTTTTGACTAGGGTCGTCATCGTGTTTTGGGATTAGTAAATCTTCAACTGCACCGGTCTTGATGTTCTTACTTCGCGTCGTGGAAATTGCAATGGTTCCTCATTCTTTTAAGCATAAGAATAAGAGACGCGGATACAATAGCTTCATATGTGTGGTATCAATGAATTCGCGATCATATGAATGTGTGGCAGAACATATTTCTTATAATAAACTTTAAACTTTTTTTTCTATCGATCACTGACTATCCACACTACGTTTACATCGTATCCGAGTTGCTGTCTATAACACCATCACCTATCGGACACTGTTTTCACTCGATGCTAGATGACAAAACGTGGCTTAGTCGTAAAATTCTGTTCCCCTATCATGTAAAATAGAGGTGACAAGAGAATTTATGAAGAGATCACACACTATGGCTTGATTATAGGTTAAGGGGATAAAATATTTTTATGAATGATCTTTACTTGGTTAAAGTATTTGGATGAGCTTGATCCTATGACCTGTATATAATGAAATTTACATTAAGTTCCGCTGTTGTTTTGATAAGGAATTGTTATTCAAAATGATCATGTGAATTCATTAATAGTTTTTGTATTGGAACTAGAGACAACAGGAACATATGATTAATCCTTAATAAACTTTTTACAATTGGTTACAATATGCACCGACTGACAAATACAATCATCATAACCCGATATATCAATAACTTATAAACGATAATGCTATGAGCGTTTAACCTTCTCCAAATGAACTTATATGAAAGTCAAGTATGTACTAGTCCACTTGAAATTTTGATCTTTCAAACTAACTTTAGAAATTATCATCATTTCTATAGGAATGTTATTTTCTTTTGTCGAATAGTTCATAAAATTTATTTTGATAATCTGAAAATTGGTTATGTACTCAGTAGTTAATCAATAACAGTTTATTGAACTGATAACGTAACGCTAATAAATTTAGTTCTGAGATACATTCAAGTTTTAGAAAAAAGTAAAAAAAAAGACATTAACACCATAGGATGCCGGCTCAGTGGTCTATCGGTTAAGTGATCTGGCGCGATACTGGTAGGTCCTGGGTTTCAATCTCATGAGACGAGATCATGGGTGCACACTGCTGAAGAGTTCCACAACAGAACGAAACGGCCGTCCAGTGCTTCCAGGTTCTCCTTGTTGGTCTAGCTTCAATTGACTCATGCTTTCAACTATTAAAAAACGTATTTCGATTTATTACTGTAAGATTACGAAAAGAAACAAGAGTTTAAACCTTAATCAACTCTCATATTCGATTTAACTAATATATAAGAGTATAGATTCCTAATATATATATTCATTTTCATAGATTTTATTATTGTATATCGCATTGATTTCCATCTCCTGTTTGCATGGACGAAAAACCCTAACAAATAGTAAACATTTGTATTCAGAATCAAATTTGTGAAATGATTGTAACATATAAAGCTCGAGAATCTTGATTGTCACTTGAATATATTCGTTCGTTTTATGAATAGAATTACAATCATTATACGATAACCAAACTCCATTGCCTACTAAGATGATACTATATGTTTGAAACAATTTATTTATTTGAACACATAAATATTGGTATAAAGGGGCATCAAATATAGATGTGCCTCACAAATCTTATTTGATTTGTGTGAGGGCTGTGATACTGTCCAGGTACCCAAAACGAAGCAGGTGATTTTCTTAGGGGGACACACCCGGATTTTTTGACATGAATATCTGATCCACAAGAAAGTAGAGCACCGTATGGAGATGCAATCCCATAGTTACTAATGACCAACGATTGATCCACACAACGTTTGTTCCTTCAGGATACTGAAACCCATGTGCACCATTGGTTTGGAATCAGGATTTTCTAACTCTACTAGATGGACTTTCCGTGTCCGCCAAACCGGTTAAAGCGCCGGACATTCGCCTTTCGTCCTCTCAATTTCGTAAACAACACCCGCGTCACGAGAATGCAGTGAGTGGGACTTCCCTGGCAGAAATGATTGTAACATATAAAGCTCGAGAATCTTGATTGTCACTTGAATATATTCGTTCGTTTTATGAGTAAAATTACAATCATTATACGGTAACCAAAAGCTGTGATACTGCCCAGGTGCCCAAACTGAAGCAGGTAGTTTTCTTAGAGGACCACACCCGGAACCTTTGACCCCAAATGTATAATTCACAAGGCAATGGAGCATCGTGAAGAGATGTAATCCCATGGTAGCCGATGACCAACGATTGATTCATAGGCCATTTGTTCCTTCAGGATACTGGAGCCCATGTGCACCATTGGTTTGGAATCCGGGTTTTCAAACTCCACTAAATAGACTTTCCATGTCCACCAACCCGGTTAAAGCGCCAGACATTCGCTTTTCGTCCTCTCAATTTCGTAAACAACACAAGCGCCACGAGAAGGCAGTGAGTAGAACTTCCCTGACAGAGGCTATATACGCGCGGCCATGTGAGAGCATTTGGAGAGGGAGAGCGGACTCCCCCCACTCTCAGCCGTACCAGGACATTTGGGGGCAAACCAACTATGCACTCTTCAGATAACCTCACAGTGACTATCCCCCAGGTGATTACTATTCAGTCTATTATTATTATATTTGTGTGTTTGTCGCTTTTCTTCATATTAGATTGTTATTTATGAAGGATGTCTTAAAATTAGAATACACATCTTAAATATAAGCATTACTATGTTCTTTCCCTTTTTTCTTTTCTCTGTTTTGTATCTAACGTAAAAATTAAAAAAACATGTTATTTCAATGAAATGAATACCATTTATTATGTATATATCCTGAATCTAGAATTCCAATGAAGATTGAATTACTTTCCATTGAAATTTCAATGATAATCATTATACTTAATTTATATAAAATAAATTATAGAAAGCGAAAACCTGGTATAGAATTGAGAACAGTTTTTCGATTTTTATATTTTAATAATAATGATAATCTGCATTTTTATTTGATATTATATGTATGTTTCGAATAGGTCAAGATGAATTTGGTTGGGCAATGTACTTGAATTCTAAACGTTCATGGTTTCTTCATCGAGGTGAACATAGAGATCGTACAGATGGAGGTATTAAAATAATACAACAAGAAATAAATGATAAAAATAGTACACAGAATACATCCTTAATAACAACTATAATTGGTGTACGATTTGATTGTGAACGAGGTCATTTAGCTTTTTATTTAAATGGTGAACCACATGGTCCTATAGCTTTTACAAATTTAAATATAAAACAAGGTGATAAATCAAATCAAGATGGAGACAATACAAAAAAATTAAATATATTCTATCCTGCAATCAGTTTAAGTCATTATACACGTGTTCGATTAGTATCCGGTCTAGAGGTACCAAGTGAAAGTGAAGATTCAAGTGATTCTTCCGAAGCAGAATATGATTTATCCTTATCAACTCCTCAGTTCCATTTCAACTCTACAGGTTCCAAGCATTATCCCATTGACCATAATGATAACAATAATAATAGTACTAATAATGAATCTGAAAATAAGAACATTGTGATTCATCCGTTACCTACCTGTTTAGTTCGTTCAACAACTGCGCCATGTATTAGAAAACCTTCAAGTCCTGATACATTACTGAGACTACCCAAGAAATCAACTGTATTACCGAAACTCATTACATTCAGTCGCAGTTAGCATGAATAGACAGTATGTTCCAAACAAGTTCCTTTTCTTCAAGAAGATATCCGAGATCAATTATTTATATTTCAAAAAGGATTTTCAGCATATTTAACATACATTTACTTGTTCATATAAAATTAACAATTGCAAGTCTTTTTGGTTCCTATTGCATTTTGCCAATTATCCGTAAAACTCTTGATTAATTTTGTATATAATTTTAAATACATACCTGCTCAGGTAAGTTCCTTTCTAGAACAGTTGTGAATTATTTTGTATCTTAATCACTGTCTAATGATCTACTTTTCAATAAAATATCATGAACTTTATTTAACTGCTCACAATTGTATCAAGGTGCTGAAATAAAGACCCTTCACATTTTCTAACGTTTTTTGAGAACAATACAAATGAATATTGTCTTAAAAGTGTAAATCCCTTAAAATCACTCATGTTGAAGTGAGCTTTTTTCTCTTAATTTCATTTTGTATCGTATGTTTACCTGCTTTGAATTCTTAACACTCAGATTGAATTTAAAACATCATGTACAGAAATTGTTTATTGTCATTACTAAACTATTTGTAAAAATCCTTTAGAAAATTGTTTTCTTCTTGTCAGGTTACTTTAATGCTTTTTCAATAGTAAAAAAAGAAAGCTAAAAAATAATCGGAAATAAAGTATATGTCTTGTATGACGTTTTCTCTAAATATAAATCAGCAACTTATAACATTAAGCCTGTTGAATATTCTATCTCATCTCCAGATTATTGTGTAACCTTTGCTATTGATTCGACTATATATTACCATCTTAGTAGACAATGGAGTTTGGTTATCGTATAATGATTGTAATTTTACTCATAAAACGAACGAATATATTCAAGTGACAATCAAGATTCTCGAGCTTTATATGTTACAATCATTTCTGCCAGGGAAGTCCCACTCACTGCATTCTCGTGACGCGGGTGTTGTTTACGAAATTGAGAGGACGAAAGGCGAATGTCCGGCGCTTTAACCGGTTTGGCGGACACGGAAAGTCCATCTAGTAGAGTTAGAAAATCCTGATTCCAAACCAATGGTGCACATGGGTTTCAGTATCCTGAAGGAACAAACGTTGTGTGGATCAATCGTTGGTCATTAGTAACTATGGGATTGCATCTCCATACGGTGCTCTACTTTCTTGTGGATCAGATATTCATGTCAAAAAATCCGGGTGTGTCCCCCTAAGAAAACCACCTGCTTCGTTTTGGGTACCTGGACAGTATCACAGCCCTCACACAAATCAAATAAGATTTGTGAGGCACATCTATATTTGATGCCCCTTTATACCAATATTTATGTGTTCAAATAAATAAATTGTTTCAAACATATAGTATCATCTTAGTAGGCAATGGAGTTTGGTTATCGTATAATGATTGTAATTCTATTCATAAAACGAACGAATATATTCAAGTGACAATCAAGATTCTCGAGCTTTATATGTTACAATCATTTCACAAATTTGATTCTGAATACAAATGTTTACTATTTGTTAGGGTTTTTCGTCCATGCAAACAGGAGATGGAAATCAATGCGATATACAATAATAAAATCTATGAAAATGAATATATATATTAGGAATCTATACTCTTATATATTAGTTAAATCGAATATGAGAGTTGATTAAGGTTTAAACTCTTGTTTCTTTTCGTAATCTTACAGTAATAAATCGAAATACGTTTTTTAATAGTTGAAAGCATGAGTCAATTGAAGCTAGACCAACAAGGAGAACCTGGAAGCACTGGACGGCCGTTTCGTTCTGTTGTGGAACTCTTCAGCAGTGTGCACCCATGATCTCGTCTCATGAGATTCAAACCCAGGACCTACCAGTATCGCGCCAGATCACTTAACCGATAGACCACTGAGCCGGCATCCTATGGTGTTAATGTCTTTTTTTTTACTTTTTTCTAAAACTTGAATGTATCTCAGAACTAAATTTATTAGCGTTGCGTTATCAGTTCAATAAACTGTTATTGATTAACTACTGAGTACATAACCAATTTTCAGATTATCAAAATAAATTTTATGAACTATTCGACAAAAGAAAATAACATTCCTATAGAAATGATGATAATTTCTAAAGTTAGTTTGAAAGATCAAAATTTCAAGTGGACTAGTACATACTTGACTTTCATATAAGTTCATTTGGAGAAGGTTAAACGCTCATAGCATTATCGTTTATAAGTTATTGATATATCTGGTTATGATGATTGTATTTGTCAGTCGGTGCATATTGTAACCAATTGTAAAAAGTTTATTAAGGATTAATCATATGTTCCTGTTGTCTCTAGTTCCAATACAAAAACTATTAATGAATTCACATAATCATTTTGAATAACAATTCCTTATCAAAACAACAGCGGAACTTAATGTGAATTTCATTATATACAGGTCATAGGATCAAGCTCATCCAAATACTTTAACCAAGTAAAGATCATTCATAAAAATATTTTATCCCCTTAACCTATAATCAAGCCATAGTGTGTGATCTCTTCATAAATTCTCTTGTCACCTCTATTTTACATGATAGGGGAACAGAATTTTACGACTAAGCCACGTTTTGTCATCTAGCATCGAGTGAAAACAGTGTCCGATAGGTGATGGTGTTATAGACAGCAACTCGGATACGATGTAAACGTAGTGTGGATAGTCAGTGATCGATAGAAAAAAAAGTTTAAAGTTTATTATAAGAAATATGTTCTGCCACACATTCATATGATCGCGAATTCATTGATACCACACATATGAAGCTATTGTATCCGCGTCTCTTATTCTTATGCTTAAAAGAATGAGGAACCATTGCAATTTCAACGACGCGAAGTAAGAACATCAAGACCGGTGCAGTTGAAGATTTACTAATCCCAAAACACGATGACGACCCTAGTCAAAAATACACTCATTAATATATTGATTGTACACACATTCAGACTATCAATTAGGATGAAATCACATATATGAAATATACTCAGAATTATAGCAAAACTACATGCTATCTATCATGCTGAGCATAGTTCATGCTAATTTAATACAAGAATATTGTATCTTTAACAAACACAACATTCAAATGAATTATTGTTATACCGAATAAAATATCAGAATGGAAAACAAAACAAATACTATACTGAGTAATAATATCACATTGAATTGAAAATCCCGTCATTTCAGTTGTCTATCGGTTTGGTCGAGGTCCACTCGAGTTACACGATAATAATATGGTCTCCAAGTTTACGTTTAAGTCACACCTCACAGGTAATATCTAAATTGGTTTATCCTATCTCTATGAAAACGATGCTGACTAAATTTACACTTTTCACAGTTGAAATCATGAGTCAATTGAAGCTAGACTACCATCGAAAACCTGGAAGCACTGGACGGCCTGGGTTCGAATCTCGCGAGTGCGGGATCGTGGATGCGCACTGATGAGGAGTCCCATAGTAGGACGAAACGGCCGTCCAGTGCTACCAGGTTTTCGATGGTGGTCTAGCTTCAATTGACTCATGATTTCAACTGTAAATTTACACTGTCAATTTGGATTCATGTCGTTTGTTGTTATTTAAAAGCAACTGCATTAGTAATCTCTTCCACAAGTCCTCTAAGGTTTGATAGACTCATCAACTATAGCCTCACCACACTCAATTATTTCTCTCATTCATTCATCATTTTAGTGAACCCGTATTACGACATTTTTGTGAAACTGCGTCCCGTTTCGAAGTTGCATGCTCTATCTATAAATCGGATATATAAATTGTCACTATCATATGTTTTGATGGAGAAGCTCTGGAAGATGTGGAACCCCCCACGTACTTGTGAAGCGTCGTCGATGAACAAGGAGGATCTGATGTAGACGTGAAGGCTAAGGTCGGAAAAGCAAGGAACCACTGGTGGATGTTTTCAATCATATATACATATATATGAAGGAATAAATAAATATACCGAAAACTACAAGAAAGGTAACATGAAATCTGATACGTTAGTCCATACAAATTCATCGACGAAAATGATTGCCCTGGCAACTTGTCAATGTTCTCTTCATTCTAAGGAGGAAAATTATGTATGGTCATAATTCCAAAATCTATTTTCGCTTTATTAATTGTAACTACCTTTATTCAACAGAAAGTAATTACATTGCTTAACAATATCCAACTACCATCGGTCCACTCTACAACCACAACTACAACTACACCTAATTACAAAGAATTCTCATTCATGAACAATATCATGAACTCACAAATTGTAGAACACAAGTAAACACAATTGACAGTAAATATACATATTGATGAGTTAATTAAGTGAGGCAAGTTCCATTCTGGTTATTATCATTAAGGCGTGTGCAAATTGTAATTTTGTGAAGAGCCGGAATGTGAATGTACTAATAGAAAAATTGATGGACGTTGAACTGACTGACAAACATGTTTGGCCTTCTTCAATCTACTATCTATCAGTAGTATTATTTGTATCTGTGGTGCGACTGACGACGACGACATCCACGGCAGTATCGATTTCGATTACATCCACGGGAATTTCGATTTCGACAACACTGATGGCATGGCCGGTAACCGTAGTGACCGTTTAACAGTTTGGAATATGTTACATCCACGTCTTCATTACCAGGTGTCGCAACTGTGACATCCTCTTGACCATCATCATCTGTTTCGTCGTCCTCACCGTCTTCTAGTATGGGATCAGATGTTGCTACAACAGAAGAGAACATAATGTAAGAAGAGAGTTTGTGATCGGTTGACAACCATGAGGTGTGAAAGCACTAGAAAATAAATGTGCATGTGAGTGTCTGAGTAAGTTGGTCAGTGTTTCAGTAAGTGATTGATCGGATGTAATTATTATTATTATTATTATTAATGGCTTTATTCAATATTATAATCTGGTACAATATAGAATTCTCAGCACGAGTTATTTCAACAAGTTTTTTACCAAAACAAAAAACAGAAAAGAAATGAAAAAAAAGGTTTAAAAAAAATCTGAGTCTGTATAAATTATCAAATTTGAGACATGCTTAAGAATACAGGTTATTTACTAGGTCAACTCTAACAAAGGTTAACGTTTACAAACGTGGCTACTCCGCCGCCACAAATCTTTTTTATTGTTTG